GGGTTAGGCTGTAGAAATGTAATGGAAGTCAATGGAATGTCCCCAAATGTATAGCTGGGCGAACCTGTGTGTGTGTACCACTGATGCGAGGTATTCCTCAAGGCCCTTCACTCGCTCTTGGCTTTTGTTTCGACTGACTTTCGCCCTTCCCTCCTCCTTCTCTCCTTCTCATGTTTCCATCTCTTTCTCTCTCTTTTATGCTCCTTTTTCATTTTGCCTTGCAGCAGTGTGGAGGTGACCCTCAGAGTTGGACAAAAGTGTACGCTGATCTCAAGGGGACGAGCCTTTTCTGCTACCATCGGCAAGAGGATGTGGATGCCAATGTAGAGCTAGCTTTTACCATTGGCATCAACAAAGTAAGTTTAAGAGATGAGGGAAAAAAGGAGTACTTCACAAACCTTCTAGATATTGATCCAACCTTACTGAACCCAGAACTGCATGTTTTTGTTTTTGTTTTTTTGCAATTTCCTAAGGCGGCAGCAGAGTTAATGGTAATATTTGTGGATTTCTGCCAGTTTGAATCCCAAGCCGCTTGGTAGAGCCTAAAACTTAATATAATCCCTGTTTTTGTAACTGTTTTTAAGTGAGAAGCCCACAAATGCCCCTACCTACCTGATAAATGAGTTTTTTAATGCCCACCGCCAAAGGCAAGGTGGTGAAACGGTTTGTGCCCATGTGTATGTGCATTTATCTGTAGTTTGATGTGATAGTTGCTGAGCCTCAAAGACTGAGATCAGATCTTGTGAAATCCCACAGTATTGCGTGAGATTGAGCATTTTCTCATTTAGCCTCCAAGGTTTGACCAGAACAACTAAAATGTAGTCCTTTTTCCATCACAAGATGATTTTAGTTTAAAACTGACAAAGTGCAGTTCGCGACGTGCATTCTTTCACGAAAGGCTAGGCTTTTATTTATTTTTGCTCTTTTTGTGTGACTGTGGAGATGTTAGGCTACAACCAGAAAGGCTGAGGACGATTTAAAATAGGTCTAGCCATTGTTCTTTTTGGTTTTGTTTAAATACAGTGGTCAGATCCATTAAATCTTAAATTATATTTTTTTATCGTCCATTGTTCTCTCAGTGGTCAAGTGTTTATAAAAGTAAAAAAGAAAAAAAAGGCTATCTAATTAGCATCCTGTGGAACTTTTCATTCTTTCCACTCTGATTCACGCAGTTGTTTGTGACCTCTGACCCTCAGAACACAGCTACTTAAAGCTACACCAGTCAGATACAGTAGTTTATGCAATCCTTTGTTTAGTTTGTGTGATTTAAACAATGAGGCAACACTGCCATCTAGTGGTCACCAACAGACTGTCACGTTTGGAGTTAAGTGAGGAGGCAGGAATTGGGAGTTGGCTCTTTTTGTTGGATAATTGCTGAAGGGAAGTGGTTTGGAAGAGGACTAATTGCTGGCTTTTTTATCAAGAGCCTATTTTCGGCAGGGCTTCACTACTACAATTGGTGTAATGAACAGTTGTCGCATTGCATAATTTCTGTTCACTCAGGAACGCTGGCATTCATTACCAGTTGTGGGCACTTAGTGGCAGATGATAACAGAGGGTTTTTTTTTTTTTGTTTTGTTTTTTTCAGGAGACCAGAATACGTGCATCAGAGAAAGACCCTCAGAGTAAAGTTCAGCAGATCTGCGTCAGTAACCAGTACGGCGGGGAGGAGGTCACACACATTCTGAGCGCAGAAAGCCGAGAGGACACACACCGCTGGATGGAAGCTTTTTGGCAGCATTTCTACGATATGAGTAAGTGCATGTTTTTACGTGTACCACAGTCATCGTATATTTATACCAAAGCTGCCTAACGGGTGGTGAAGATGAGCATTTATGGCAGTATTTCCTTTGTTTGAGATTAGTGGTTTAATAATGATAAATATAACTCGACAGGTCAGTGGAAGCAATGCTGTGATAATCTGATGAAAATTGAACTCCCATCGCCAAGAAAACCCGCTCCTATTACACCAAAACAGGGATCTCTTTACCATGAAATGGGTACGTCTCCCGTGTCTCTGAATAATTTGAGCTAAGTCCGAAAAACAGCACATTGATAGAGTGTGTTGCATGTGACTGTGTGCGTTTTTAATCATTGAGTGGATGTGCATGAATAAACTGTCACTATTAGCCTTTCTTCTGAGAAATCTTAATCTTACACTCTGCTTTTACTTTTCTGTAATCTATATAGAAGGAAACTTACTGACTGTCTGTTTCTCTGTTTCTATTTGTCTTTTTCTGTTTCCCCTGTGTCCTTTGAATCCACCTCTCTTTTTATTGTTCTGTTCCTTGTGTGAAATTATATGATTTGCCATCAACACATTTTTTTCCATCAATTTCATTGTTAATCTCTCTGCTTTTCCTCTCTCATCACTCCATTAAACATTCACCTAACCCTTATTGATTTTTTGCCATCAACACACATAAAACATCTTCTATCCTCGCCACTCTTTGTCTCGCAATATCATGGTTGTCCTAACCCTCCCTGGCAGCCCCTCTTTCCGCACCCTCCTGCGAGGGCCTCCTGCTGCAGGATAATGCTGTGTCTGCTGAGATTCGTGCTCTGCTCTCTTCCTATTACAACGACAGGTGAAGTAGCAGGTGTAGGGTTTCACATACTGTAAATTAGGCCGCCGCCCCAAGAGGCTGCAACAAACTGTACCAGTTTGGTACTTAAAGGTTTTGCATTCTTTGAAGGAATACATATCATTCACAGGCTTCAATACCACAGTGTTAAACTAGGATCATCTTAAGATGAGGAGGGGGCAGTGTGAGAGTTTTACTAAAATCTATCCAGTGGTTCATGAGATATCATTTTAGCAGAACAAACAGACTCAAACACATGCAAAAACATTACACTGAAACATATGAAAATATGTTTAGAGTTCAAAAACAGACAAGTTATTGTACATGAACGATGCATGTCTTAGAGGTCTCCCTGCTTTGACACACCTGATTCAGATGACTGCAGTTCATCAAACGCCTGCTAATCAGTTACCAACTGAAATCAGCTGTGTTGAAGCAGGAAAACACCTAAAACACACAGGGCAGTGTGCCCTGAGGACCAGGGTTGAAAAACACTTCTTAATACGCATTTACTTCTTTAAAGCATTTTTGATTAAAGGGCTTTGTATTTTTATTTTAAAAGATTGATTTTTAGAATGTTTAATGCTGAAACATTTTTTGCAGTAAAAAGAAAAGATGTAGAAAAACTCAGCAATTTGTCATAAAATAGCCAAAAATACTGAAATTAACAGAAAAGTAGCTGAAAAAAGGTAGCTGAAAATACTGAATGTAGCCTGAAGAAGCAGAAAGAGCATGTTTGCTGGATTAAGCTGTTGAAAGAAGCAGCTAAAATGATCATAAAAAGGGTGAATTTAGCTAAAAAAGATGAACAAAAGCTAAAAATAGTCAAAAAGTAGCTTAAATTACAGAAAAAAGCTGAAAGCTTAAATTAGCAGACACTGATATAAGCACTAAAATAAGTTAGCAGAATAACTGAAAGAAAAGTAGGAAGAAGCCAATATTAGCAAAAATAAATAAATAAATAAATAAATAAAAATAAAAAGAAGCTGAAGGAAGCTAAAATTAGCACAAAGTAAAAAAAAAACAAGGAGCAGTTTAACTATTTTGAAGGATTTTAAGGATGTTGAAGACAGCTCCATTTATTTTCAATGACAACAAAAATGGCTAAAAAAAAGCTAAATATCCTAAAAAGAATAAATTGCTGAAATACCAAGTCATAGCCAGTGCTGAACGATTTGAGATACGAATTGTTTGAAATAGCACAAAAATTGTGGAATGAGATACATGCTGAAAGAACAAAATGGATCATCTCAACAGAGTGAATGAATTCACACAGTTAGAAAAAAAAACTGCAACAAAATATTTACGCTTAAGCTGGTCTTTTGGAAAAGTTCTTTATGTTTGGAACATTTCTGAGTTACAAATAATTTTAAGTTCAGTTGTATAAAATGACTTCTGCCTTCATCGCTCCTCTACAACTACAACACTCTGACACCTGCTGCTTCTTTCTGCAGTTATTGAATCGTCTGATGACCTGAGCTGCACCGTGTCAGACATCTTGGCTCGGAGGATGCAGGAGCTGGAGCTCCGCAGCCAGCTGGGCATGTCTCCCACCTGGATGTCTATGTTTGAGGAGAACAATACAAAACCCGCTGCCTTCCCTCGTCAGTGTCCGTCTCGCCTGTCAGGCCACAGCCCCTGCAGTCCTCATCGCCCTCCTCGAAGCCCCGCGAGCCCCCCTCGCTGCCCGCGCCTGGGCCTGCTGTCCTCAGACGCCAGCCTGACTTCAGACAGCGACAGCCACTGCAGCACCAGCCCCTGCTCTCACCACCGAGGCTGGCCCGATCCTTCGTCAAACTTGTCTCTCGTGTCGACTTCCCCCTTCGGTCTGAGGCCGCGCACGCTTTCATTGGACGCGAAACTCAGCACCCTTCGAGGGAGGGGGTACGGCGGCGGAGGAGGAGGAGCGGCCTTCCAGTGCCCCTGTCAGCCTCCTTCCTCCTCGCTGCTCGCTCCTTTACCCATTTCCTCCCGTTCGCCTCGGTCACAGCGCGGCATGCAGACGACGCTTTCCTGCTCCAGCTCCACCTCCAGCAACAGCTCCAGCAACAGCGAGGGCAGCCACAGCCCCGAGTCTTCAGAGGGAGTCCTCTTCTCTAGGCCCTCGCCAGCTCGACGCAGCCTAAGAAACCTCAGGGCCAGACTTGATCCTCGCAACTGGCTCCAAAGTCAGGTGTGAACTCATTCCCTGACTGGCTTTTAACATGTTTGCTTAAAGGCAGTAGTATTTGTCAAACTGTGCTCAACTGGTTTAACATGTGGACTAAACATCTACCTACCCCTGAAGAGATCATACCGTTTAACAATGGATGAGTTACTGAAGCCCCTCAGAGGTCAAACTGGAATATTTTGTTCTCCAGAAAGATGGTGACAATCACTGCAGGAGTTGCTGGGGGTTCCACAGATTTCAAAAACGGGAGATACGTCGTTTTTTTTTCTTTCAGAAATGTTGGTCGTGTTTGCTGGGAGTAATTAAATAACAGCTGGCATTGTTTCTACTCTTTCACTCTGTAAAGTAAATTTAAAACTGCAAACTTTGCCCTCAGATGTATCCTGTACCATCCACCTATACAGTACTTCCAGGTCATCGCACCTGCCTTTTTTTTGTCTTGACAGGATGTAACTTAATATATGTTAAAAGGATTTGACCAAAAGTTTTCGAGTGTGATACTTTAACACTTTGAAAGAAGAGAAGGGGTTAATGTTTGTTGCCTGTACTGTGATAACTTACCTTAGTGTACTGACCTAATTATCCACACACCAGATGACTGGTGGGAGTCTTCTAAAAGAAACTATGCACAATTTTTCCATTTTTTTTATCGTTATGCATGATTGGACTTAACAGTAAAATGTTTATCTGAAATTTTACCTGAAATAGTTCCAACAGTGAATCAGGAGGAAGTTTTACCTTTTGCAAGTGCACATATTCACTCTACTGGTTCTGACTGTGATCTTTTCAGCATTCGTTGAGGCTTCCTTCAGAGAAAATAAATTAATAAAGAAATACAGAACTGGTTTCGTACCAAAGTTGAAGTATTAATGAAAACTTAAGCCATAGTTAAAACCAAGCCATGCAGCAGTGCTGTAGGTTTTATGTGTAGTGACTCCTGTCCTTCAGCTCACCTTAAAAACAAAAAAGTGATCATTTAAAGCTCCCACTGCAGTTTGGAAATGTTCACTTCTCACACTGTTGCATAATTCAAGTTTGCTGCATCAAAATTTTTCCAAAACAAAGATTTTTACCAATTGTGGATTGGCAAAGCCACTTTTTTTTTTTTTTACCTATATCCTTCCTGTTTCTGTTGAGCGTTGTGGATTTTGGAAGCTGTTGCTGTCCCAGAACCGAGAACTTCGGCAAAAATATTTACTATGATTTGTCAGATGTTTGAAAAATAGCATTTGTTACTGTAAATTATTATTATTATTTTTTTCTAAGTTAACAGATGGACCTCACTTTGTCTTTTCTTACAAAGCTATTTTTTTTTTAAATGCAGGTGTATATATGTGGGATTATTCTATGATTAACAGATAAGTTGCAGATCTAAAACTGTTAGGCATAAATAACACTGTTACAAGTCTACATTGTTGGCAGGCTTTGTGTTTGGCATGAACTTCATCCTGAAGATGGAATTTAAAGTAAGATTTCTCGTTTAAATAATATAACGTTAATTATAATAAATGTTTTATCAATTTACAACCGCCTCGTTATTTTATCACTCGTCATCGAAAGCAAAAAGGGCAATTACATTTTTGTCTGTGTTTATGTGGGTTTGTCTGTACAGTTAGCAAAATAACATGGATTTGAATGAAACACTGAATGTACCTCTAATACTGATTAACTTTTACAAACAATTCAAAATGTCCTTCAAAGCTAAATGACCTAAGACACACAAACGTTGCTTCAACAATTTCAGATTGGTGTGGTAGTAGCAGCAATTCCTAACCTATCCTGCAAATACTGCACAATTTGCAATATTTTTTCAATTATTAGCTGTTTACATCAACCTTGACTATCTGTTAGCAAAATATCAAATGAACCACAAATTGTTTCAGTCACCACTGGCTGTATCTACAGCAGTGGTTCCCAACCCCTTTCCTTCATGTTTTGTTTCCCTGCTATTCAGCAGGTCTTCAGAAGATTGTTAATCACTCAATCATTCAAACCAGGTGTGTTAAATCAGGGGAAAAAACATGAAGGTTAGGGGTCCTTGAGGTAATTAAATGAATGACTGAATCAGCTGTGTTGGAGCTGGGAAAAAAGTAAAACATGCAGGGCTGCGGCCCTCGAAATCTAGAATTTGCCCACCCCTGATCTAAAACATGCAGGACAGGAGTCCTTGAGGACTAGGGTCGGGAACCACAGCTTTAAATGTTGACACCTCAAGAGCATCTCAGAGCTAGATGAGACATTTTCAAAATATAATATTAACTTAGTTTTTTTTTTTTTTTTTTTTTTAGTGTTGCCTCTGGAAGCCATTTATTTGTAAATAATAAATCAGAGAACATATATTACCCTTCCAAGGACTCCTTTGCTGCATGTTTATGTTTCCCTGCTTTGACACACCTGGTTTGAATGAATGAGTGATTAACAATCTTCTGAAGACCTGGTGAGCCAATACAAAAAAAAAAAAAAAGACAAGATACTGAGCTGATATTTAGTGGCTTTAGCTACCACAACTCTCATGATCTCACAGTATCGCACAAAATTGCGTAAAATGCTATTTAGTCTGCACAGCTTTACCAGAACAACTAAAATGTATTCCCTTCTCAACATGATCTCGGTTTAAGTTGGCTATATGAAACGCTAACTGCTGTAAATGTTTTCTATGACAAAATTTAATTAAGGTAGACATTTATTGTCTGAAAATCAAATGGCTAAGAATTACAAATATATTAAGACACTTTAAAACAAACAAAAATATTATAATAACAGGTTAAAACACCGTGTTGCTTTTTAGTTTAACACAAATACTGTAAGGAATCATTTTTCATGTGCATTGCAATGATCACATTTTTCATGCAAGAATAGTGCTTTGTCATTAAAGGCAATCCGTTTCCGGTCTGCTTTCATTTCTCTCCGGTGCAATTATCCCAACAGAGATGCCCACTTCTGGAAATAACCCAAGAAGCTTTTAAAAGCTGCAGTAGAAAAAATAAATAAATAAAAAATCAAAGTAGAGTGGGCCGAGATGAAACTTTGTCTGCGATTCGATAGCAAAGCCATAAATCTGTCAACAGTACAAAGCACTAACAAACATAGGAGGTAGTCAACACTGGGTCTTCACTGAGCATTGGAATATGCATAGAAAAGAGCTATGGCTATACTGAGTGTTTGAAATGCCTCGAATGAGAACACAAAGATCCTCGTTCTCTGTTTGTAGTGCACAGCTGTACCATTGTTGTGCTATAATGTCACATCTGCTTAACATTTAAAAAAAAATCAAACATCTAATCATAATACACATATTCATCAATAAATATTAAGATAACACTTGTAAATACTTTATATTGTTTGCTTCATATGAACCTGATTATTGCCTTATGTAACCCAACAAGGGAATATTTGACGAAGTTTGACAATTATCTGGACTCTGTTAGGTAACATATGTGAATGAACAGAGATGCATCAGGATTATATAACAAAGAGGTTGGTTCTCCTTTTTTTTGAATGCATTGTAGGTCCCCTCGTATTAAAACATCTTCCCGTGTGCAACTTGTGCTTCCTTCAGCTTTCGCGGCCCGCTCTCATCAGCAGGCGCTGCGAGGGTTGGACGCACGCAGCGCCAACCTGGCTAGAGAGCTCCAGGCCAGCGTGGAGACCTTCGCCGAGCACGTTCCGGCTCTGCTGATGTACGTGGACGCGAGCCGGTGGAGACGCTTGGCACCGAAAGCGTTGTAGTGTCCGGGGAGGACCTGGTCAACCTGTTGGATTTTAGAGGTTATCAAAACATAGGGATGGTGGCTGTGTGTAAGTGGCCAATTAAATGTTCAGATGGTGACTTAAAGGGATCCCTGATTAGTAATATTAGACTTTATTTGATGAACATTTATTTTAACTGTAAAATAAAGACTGTAAAAATACTGTAGGATGTTTAGTTTTGTAATTTTTTGAAAATATATTTTAACACAGACGGAGCCATTTTATTTACACACAAAGCATTCTGGGTAAATGATGACGTGGATAGGTCCTCGGTGTGAGGCTGCTGGTGAGCTATATCCACCCTGAAGGTTAATCTTGGACAATATCTGATGATTGGCTCTTTTAAATGAAACCAGAGAGCGTTGACAGAGAGGAGAAGGTAGAAATGACTCAGCCTGTAACTGAAAATATGGATGGAGGACAACAGAGCTGCTTCATGGAAGAAGAACCTCAGCTTAGCCTGTTAGCCTTTGCGCTAGCGCCGACGCTATATTGCCTTATACGTATTAGCTCAGCGTTAGCGCGACAAAAGCTAAACTGAGGTCCTCCATCCATATTTTCAGTTGCAGACTGAGTCATTTTGTGTTCCCCTCTCTGTCATGTGGATGGAGGACCTCAGTGAWGAGAGGAGAATGTGTAGCGCTGAGCTAAAATTTATAGTGATAGTGCTGGGGCTAACGCTAAAGCTAACAGGCTAAGCTGAGGTTCTTCTTCCATGAAGCAGCTCTGTTGTCCTCCATCTATATTTTCAGTTACAGGCTGAGTCATTTCTACCTTCTCCTCTCTGTCAACGCTCTCTGGTTTCATTTAAAAGAGTTGATATTCAGATATTGTCCAAGATTAAACTTCAGGGTGGATTTAGCTCGCTAGCAGCCTCGTACCAAGGACCTAGTTGATGTCATCATTTACCCAGAATGCTTTGCTTGTAAATAAAATGGCCCTGTCCGTGTAATATATTTTTAAACTTTGAGTTTAAAAATTGTTTAAACTTTTAGTTTAAAAATTATAAAAACTGAACATCCTACAGTATATTTACTGTCTTTATTTTACAGTTAAAATATATGTTTATTAAATAAAGTCTAATGTCACAACTAATCATGGATCCCTTTAAATGAGGTACAATGACAGTTACCTGCTCGCTGTCCACCAGCCCCACCAGACGCTCACAGCTGCTGATGTAATCACTGACTCGGCTGTAGGGCAGCCAGTCGATCATGGCGCCGTCGTACACAACATCTCCACTGAACAGCAGCTTATTATCACGGTCGTGGAGACATATGCTTCCTCTGGAGTGACCTGGCATGTGAAGCACCGTCAGCTGTCTGTCGCCTAGGTTAATGACATCACCTGGATAACAGAAGGAAAGAGTGACGTGTCAAACTGGGCTCGCTAACAGAATATAAGAGTAATTGTTAAGCAGAGTGCAACAGATTCCTGAACACCTGACTCACTGTCATTATATATCTCCTATCAACATGTTAAATCTGGAACATTCAGCAGAGCATTGATTTGATCTACAGCAGGTATGAGCCACACTGTATGTCATAAAGCTGACACACCAGGCAAGGAGATATTCCAACTGCACTGCAGCAGTTGCTCTGACACAGCAGAACCAGTCCAAATATTGAGTGGCGGTACAGAAATTACTCTGAAAGAACATCCCAGACGAAACTGAGGCGACAAGCAGCCGTTGGCTACACTAATATAGGGTATTCCTGTTTGTTCACATTTTGCATTCTTTTGCATTATCCTCTGTTGACTAAAATAGCTTTAACTTTGGTGTCACTTTATGGGATGCTTCCTGGAAGTGTGTGGACCAGTCTCTGTAATCTCTTCTTCCTTTTCCTGCATTAACAGAAAGCATCAAAGTTGTCAGCATCTTGGCTTAAAATAGAACAGCTACATTGGAAAAAGCTGACAGTAGATACAGAAGAAAAAAAAAGAATAAGAATATGTTTTAAAGTCACACGTTTTCTCTTAGGTTGTTCATAAGGTGCACTTGGGGTCCACCACAGAGCAGATCTTTCACTTATAAATGGCTTTTTTTATACTCATCCTTTAATACATTTTGAGAAAAATAAAATTACAGCTGTCTAAGGACTAAATTAACACTTATTTAGCACGTTAGAAACAAATTCAAATTTGCTGTTACATTTTGCATTTAAAAACTTCCCTTCACTGCTGCATTACACAGGTAATGACTTTATTATGTATGTACAGAATGTAGATCAATTTGACAAGTCAGTTTACTGCAAAGGAAAAGACTCAGTCTTCAGCTGCTCAGTCTGCTCCTTTTATTACAAACCACCAAATAGGATGTTTTGATCCCTGTATTCACATCCTGCCAGGTTTTTATTTTTAGATACACGCTCCCACCATCAAATCCGCAGTGGCCGCCACCTACCCTCCTGCAGTATGTGGGTGGGCTGCACTGCCTTGACTTTGTAGTGTCTCGCCCTCCATCCTGGACTCGGAGCCTCGGCTATCTCCCGATCGCTGAGCCAGGTGACCGTCTCGAAGTTGTCCCCGTTCGCCAGAGCATCGACCTCCGCGCTGTGGACGCCCACCTGTTGGAACTGATGCAGACCGCCCGAGTGGTCGAAGTGGGCGTGGGTGGCGATGGCCAGCAGCGGGTTCTTCCTCTCCGGGTCCTTGCCGAGCAGCCCCTTGGCGTCGATGTAGTCAGGTAAGCTCCTCAAGCCCAGACCCGTGTCTATCACCACGTCCTGGTGACTACCGCGCAGCAGCCAGATGTTGGCCCGGTTCTCCGACTGGTAGAATCGCTCCTGGATCCAGAAAAGTCCGTCTCCGAGCGATTTGTGAGCGTACCAGTCGATCGCAGACATCACAGGTCGGCGGGTATTGTGCAGTCAGGTGTTAGTAATTCGTTGCTAGCTTTGTAGCTACGAGGTGTATGTTTCCATTGAGGCTAATACGCCACACACAAACACACACACCCTAATAGAAGAAGCGCATGCTCATTGGACAAACCATTGGATGACGCAATCCAAAATCTGACCTACAATTGGATGTAAATAGGTAACGCCCATAAAACGTCACGTAGAGGCGGAGCGAGTAAAAGACACATTTTACGTGGTTAACAGAAGTAGTTAAAACGTTGTCCCCACGTTTCCATACTGGTACGAGAGCAGCCAAAAGGGGGGAAAAAAGGAAGAAAGAAAACGAATATTAGGTTTTTTGGAAGTTTTCTGTATTTAGGACTACGTTATCTTGACGAATGACAAACTGTACAACTGAGTAAAAACGACAAGTAAATTGAAAACGTGGAGAGTCTTTTTAAATGCCGACGTGAAATAGTCGTCTATCTCTGCACAAGCAGCAGTTCACAAACTGTGCTGTAGTGAGTATTCAATGCGTCTCTGGTGTTTTAAAGCCGTTAAGGTCGAAAAGAGCCGCAGTGGTGTTGACACGTGTTCGTCAGTGATGTTGACAAGATGACATGTGTTGTAGCTACAGGAGAGACCTACAGCCATGGCGGGCAAGGGCCGTGGAGTGGGTGCCTTTACCTTCAACATTGAAGCCTTGGGCATCGGACGGGGCAGCATGCCAGAAGCCAGGGTGGGGCCCAGTCCTCTGTTTCCAGTAAGTACCATCACACACACACGAATGACAAATCACTCTTTTTATTTTACCTTTTAATCACCAAAGTGCATGAAATGTCTTAAAAGAGGAGGTTTTAAAAACTGTTTGTGGTTACACATGGAGGCAGGGGGAAAGTTGCATGACCTTTAAAAAGTCAAAAGTATAGCATATATGTACTAAAATATGAAAAATAATTGGAAAAGGTGTGTTTATTATGGGGGTGTAGTCTTTTTGAGCTTACCTAACAAAAATGTTGTGTTACTCATTTTTTAAAAAATGTGTTGTCTGTGCAACAAACTGATCCAACCGGTACATATTTTAATCTGTATCTTTATATTAGGGCTGTGACTTATAGTCTATATTAAATAATTTGTTTATTCCATGAATATTGAAATTTAACTTGGTTTATTTTATCCTATTTAATCAAGCCTATAGTCAGGTGACCATGAGACTTCATCTCGAGTTATAACTATAACTATGTATATATATCCTGCAGCATCTCAGTAATCCATGTAAACAATCAAAAAGAAAAAAAATTGTACAGGTCTTCTGGACGGGTTCTTCTCTAATGAAACGTTTCGTCTCTCCTCCAAGAGACTTCTTCAGTCTGAGAGTTCACGTACGGGGGGCAATATTATAGGCAGAAACATGGGTGTGCCATGGGWTCCCCAGTTTCTCCTATTGTTGCAAACCTGTACATGGAGGAAGTGGAAAAGAGAGCCTTGATGTCCTTTTCAGGGGTGCCACTGAGCCATTGGTTCAGATATGTTGACGACACCTGGGTTAAAATTAAAGCCCAGCAAGTCCAACGTTTCACTGATCACATCAACTCTGTGGATGAATATATTAAGTTCACACGAGAGGATGTAAAAAATGGCAGGTT